GATTTCTTAGCGTTAGTTTTTATGTTCCATTTATCTAGCCATAGTTCTATTTTCGCCAGGTAATTTTGAAGTAAAAAAGTAGCTGTTGTTACATCTTCATGACTTGAGGTTATAGCAATGTCATCAGCATAGGTGCTTATCGTTAATGTCGGATCGAGTGGCATATCACTGGTGTATAGCAAATATAGTATTGGACTGAGAGCACTGCCTTGCGGAACACCGGAATGAATTGGTTTTGGAGGCGAGAGTTCTTCATTTTCTTTAATTTGAAAGGTTCTATTTGATAAGTAAGATTCCAAAATTGTGAAATATTTTGGAAATGTTTTCTTTAATTTATATAATAATCCCATGTGCCAAACTTTGTCGAAGGCCTGGCTGATGTCTAGAAAAACTGCTACACAAAATTCTTTTTTATTCAGGGCTGTGAGGATTGAGTTGGTTATTCTGTTGCATTGCTGTATTGTTGAGTGATGTCTTCTAAAACCAAATTGATGGTTAGGTATCCAGGATTCTTCGGGATGATCTTCTAGTAGTCTTTGTAAAATTAATCTTTCGAATACTTTTGATAGGGATGGAAGCAGGCTTATAGGTCTATAAGATTTTACGTCAGATGAATCTTTGTTTGGTTTTGGGATCATTATGATTTTTGCATTCTTCCAAACAGATGGCCAGTAGTTAAATTGAAGAATGGAGTTGAAAATGGATGTGATAAATAATAGACATTTTGGTGGAAGTTCTTTTAACATTTTAGGAGAAACTTGATCGTTTCCGGGGGCTGATTTTGATTTGATAACTTTGATTTTATTTTTGATTTCACTTGGTTTAAAAGGTCTTATCATAGACGTTTGGCAATTTCCTTGAAGCGCATTCAATATTTCAATTTCAGGTGACAAGTTTTGTTTTTTGAAAACATCAATCAAGTATTCTGCGAATGCTTTACACTTTTCAGCGTCACTTTTAGCCCAAGTTATGTGGTTCTGAGAGCAAACTTTGAGAGGCGATTTCGACATTACAGGTTTATGTTTGTTCTTTATAGGTTTCCAAATAGAGGCATCATATCTATTTAGCTGCGAAACATATGAATTAAAGGAATCATTCTTCCAAATGGCGATGATTTTCTTTAATTTGTTGCTAATTTGGTTAAAACTACTTTTGTCCTCCGGCCAATGAGTTTGTTGCCACCTCCGCCTGGCCTTCCTCTTTGCAGTTATTAATCTTTTTATGTCGGATGGTATTACTTGATTATCTTTTCGTGGTGGGATACTTGGTGTTGATTCAACGCATGCGTCAATGATAGTTTTATTCAAAAACAAAACTTGATTATCAATTTCATCAGCGAGTTTCGGGCGTTGAATTAGCTTAATTTTTGAATTTATAATGTTTCTGAAATTGTTCCAGTCAGTAAATTTATTGAATAAACTGCAAGGCCGATAAACAGGAATCGGACTTGAAAAATAGGTTAAAAGAATTGGGGAATGGTCGGAAGATAAATCAAAGTTAGGTTCAATAATGAGTTGCGATGTTGGAATACCTTTTATTATGAAGAAATCAAGCAAATCTGGAATTCTATTAACATCGGTTGGCCAATATGTTGGTTGACTAGTAGTTATATGTGAAGCATTTATTTGATTTATTGATGTTAGTAGTTCTTTTCCTTTGGCAGTGGTTAGTCTTGATACCCATGATGTGTGTTTGCAGTTAAAATCACCTCCGACAATGAATTTATTGCCTAAACTGCTGAAAAATGAAGTATAATCAGCGGCTAAAATTTTATGTCTTGGCGGACAGTAAATAGATGCTAGTGTTATATCATAAATTTTCGTTTGCATAGAGATTAAAGAAGCTTGTATAGTCTCTGATTGAACAGGGGGCAAGGTGTGGTGTTTAATATTGTTTTTTATAAGAATTGCTGCTCCTCCATGACATTTCCCATCCGGGTGATTTGCAGAATAGGTTATGTAGTTGTGAATGTTGAAATATGATTTATCGTTGAAGTGAGTTTCGGAAATTAGTAGAATATCGACTAGATTGAGTTTTAGAAATATTTCCAATTCGTATTTACGTTGAATGACGCCGTTTGCGTTCCATTGACATATTTTAATTGCTTCTACCATTATTTAATTTGTTTACTAAAATGGTTAGCATATTGAGAATAGTTGAATTTTGTTGGTACATTTGTTGGAACATAATTTTGAACTCGGTTAAGAATTCATTTATTGGAGTGGAAGAATCTGGTGATGAGTTTTGAAAGGAACGATTATTTTTAGTGGCATCGGCGTAAGATACGTTGTTAAGATTTGAACGATTTCCATTTGTAGGAAATGTTTGTTTTATATTTGATTCAGTAGTATGTTGAGTGTAAGTCGGATTTGAGTAAACTGCATTTCGGTTTGTTAATCGAACCTCTTGTTTATACTTCTGAGCGTATAAATTTTGATATACGGGACAACCTTTGTAACTCGAAACATGGTCTTGATCACATAAGGTGCATTTGGCTGGAAGATGAGGCTCTTTTTTACATTTTGCAGTCTCATGAAAATCTGAGCATTTCAAACAGCGGTGGATATGATGGCAATATGCCTTGGTGTGACAATACTTTTGGCAACGGCTGCATTGTACTATTCGTTTGTGAATTCTAGGTGGTTCAATTTTTATAATTGAGTTTTTAAATTTAGTTATGTTAAATACATACTTGTTATTATCAGCTGGTTCTAAGTCAATGTAGAACAAGTTAAGTGGTTCGTTATCATATTTACTTCTAATATTAGTTATGTTTCTTACTACGTGTCCCGATTTGAGCAGTTCTGATTTTATTTCTTCAATGGGTGTTGAATAGTGGATATATCTACTTACTGCTCGAAATGCTCTTTCTTCTTTAAGTTGAAAAGTGTGAAACTCGGCTTTCTTGGTTATTAATAACTTCACTAGATGTCTATATGAGTCAGAATTTGAGCACTGGATTTTAATTGAATTATCAAGCATGCATTTATAGTAATATTGTTTTTCGTTTAACACTTTTTTTATGTCGTTGAACATGTCGTTAATATCAGAAACGTTTGAAACAAAGATCGGCGGAGGTTTGACAATTTTTTCGGGTTCATTCGACGTGTTTTCTAATATACTGAATCTATTCCTTAGTTCTATGGGCGTTCTAGGATCTTGTGTTTTTCTTTTTTCGATTTTGAAGCTATTTGCCAAGGAATATTGTCTTCTTCCATTGTTATTTCGGTCTCCTCTAAATTCAAATTAGTTGACATTGTGTTAGGTTGTATTTTGTTTTTTAATTGGCCTTCATCGAATTCGCAGTTTGAACTTGGCATATTATTATTCTCTTGAAGTGTTTTCATAAATGAAAACTATAATATCACTTAACGTACCCCCATATGGGGATACAATTAAAAAAGTATTTAAATTGTGATCACTTTTGTGGATTAATTTCACTTTCACAGTAAATGAACTATGATTATAGATTGAATCTGTATGTAAAATATAAACAATCTATTCAAACAATTTACAAAACAAATGAATGATTAGACCATTAGTTAAATATGATAATTAATTAATATAATAATTATTACAAACAAGGGTTTGACAGGAACCCAAACCGGAACAAACAGGCTTGTTTTTCTGAAACGTCAACCGGAGTCCGGAACGTTTTTTGTTTTGCTGACCTGGAAACCAATACGAGAAACGGTTTTTGAACCGGTCTTTTAATTTTAGCGTTCTGGTAAAAAAATATTAGCACAACACCATTGAGAATATGCTTTTTTACTATATTGGAAGCAATATATTTTATGACAATTATTTATCATCAAAAAAATTCAAATGACTTACCCATGACTCGCCATATAACATAAGAAATTGTTTTTGAATCCAACAATTCACTAAAAACTGTAAAATACATCGAATCCTCTTTATCAACAATCATTTTGCAAATCTTATTGTCAGTTGAATCAGTTGAATTGTCCAAACAAAAAATGTCAATTAACACAACACTAAATACTCAAACTTATTTAATTTACACGTTACGGAATGGATTTTCCTTTCTCCAGAATAATATTAAAACAAAATATTATTTATTTATAAATATATAGACATTATAAAAAATTACACCAGTGCGAATACGTTATTCGAAGAGGTTATTTAAAAAATGGCGATGCTAATGTCAAACTGGCGTTTTTTAATTGTTGGTACTTCTGCATAAACAATGCTACCACCAATAGCAACAAATTGAAGATTAACCGCCATTAAGTACTATGTTTAAGTCACAGATAAAAGAATATTATTATTAAGTTAATATTATTGGAAGAGTATGGTTTAAGTATATTATTTCATTTATTATTGTTATAATCTATGGTTTCATGAGTTGTGTTAACTCTGAGTCGAATCAGAAAAATATATTGTGAGAAATCTAGACCAAAAGTATATAAAAATATATTTGTGTGTATACAAGGCCTGGTGGAAATTTTTCGGTTGTCTTTCCATGTCAAAGGGTTATTGGCAATTGGCAATTGGAAATATATTCCTGATTTATTTATTGAAGAGAACATGGAAATCACTACTGCTTGTATCATAATGGTAAATGGTTATAAAGTTATAAATCTATGTAATGCTATGATTATTCTTAAGTTTGAATCCAATATTTTCAATCATTTGCATTACTTTTGGTACAACTACAATTTTTGATAATTACTGTAATATTAATCAAGTTTTGGATTTGTATTATCAAATATTAATTATGTAATATAATTTAATTTTGCAAACATAATACAAATTATAATAAATTAAAAAATAAAAGAAAGTTAACTGAACGCATGTATTTCTTTTATCAAAGTTATTTCAAAGATGGTGCGACTGTTTCATTTATTGCAACTGTCAGTGAAAAATCAAAATACTTAACCAAAATATGAATCTCACGTGCTCAAACTTGTATATTGTGTTTATTAAATTATTGTGGACATATAATACAATAATTGCATAATATTTTCGATGTGTTAATTATGGACGACGAACTATCTCAAAATGATAGATCAGATAACACCGTGGAGCAAAATGATGTTCCTGTTATTATATCCAAAGAACAAATTGATTTTAAAAATAATTTAAGCTTAGTGAATGAAAATGTAGGCTACCATGATACAATAAATAATTCTATTCTAGCATATAAGAGAAATATATATCATTCATTTCAGCAAGGGAATACAGAATTTTCATCTGGTTTAAATTTACAAAATAATCAAGCGTCTAATCGTGAACTTTGTGAGACTAGTCAGCAAGCTCCTTGCGTTACAACAGATCCATCTTCACTTAATCAAAACATGCATGAATTAGTCAAGAATGAAATGTCGACTGTTTGTTTAGGTTTAACAAATCCACAGGATTGTAGTATTAAGATTCAAAACCCCCAAGCTTGTGATAGTAATACACAAAATATTGATATTAATTCATCCAAAGTTCATGAAAATGTTATATTACCTTGTAGTCCTACATCACCAAAAAATCAGGAGCTTTCAGAAAATATATGTGATGATAGCATTATGGAAACACAAATTCAAGAAAATGTAGTAACAACAGTAAATGAGAATAGTGAACGATTAACTAATGTCGATAATAATACAGTTTATAGTAAAATTTATGAAAAAGGCTCAAAATTGGATTTTAATCAACCTCTCTCAACTACTAATATTACAGACAATGATACAAGTAAATTTAATATTGAAAATAGTTTAAACAATAATGAAAGAAGTCAAAATAATGTAGAAAGCATTGAAACTGATTCACAAAATGAACAACAAAATAATATTGAAGAAGCAATGGAAATTACAGAAAGCTCTTATGACATACTAACTAATAAATACTTTAGTGATAAAATTATTGAACTCTCTAGGCTATCCACTAATACTGTTATAAGTAATCAAAATTACTTTCGTGGTTGCAAGTGGTCTCCAGATGGGACTTGTATTTTGTCAATAATTAATAATAAGGGTATGCAAGTCACAGAACTTCCTAGAGAATTATATTCTAATGAAAATGTGTCTACGGAAAGACCTGTTGATATTTTAACACCTGCACTTCGTATCAAAGAAGCTGGTTTAGTTTATGATTTTGAATGGTATCCAAAAATGAATAGTTATGATCCTGCTACTTGTTGGTAAGAAACTTATTTCACTTTAAATCAATGTTTGTTTTTATCTTGCCACATTGTTTATAATTAATTTAATTACTGGATTCAAAATTTTAATATGAATTTTATTAGTACATAAAATACTGTGCTGGGCAATTATATTACTTTATAAGATTACTACACAAACTATTTCAGAAATAAAAATAATGTTAATGTTAAAATATTATTACAGAATATATTGAATTGTTGCAGTATACATAAGTAATTACAAATAATCAATAGAATAATGGCATAAGTATTTTTAATTTATTCAGAACTCAATTTTATTATTATTATTTAATTTTTAGTTGGATTACAAGCATTCAGCATGGACCTGTGCAGCTATGGGATGCTTTTGATGGATCTCTTCGCAGTTCATACCGGTTAGCTTTATAAATTAATAGTTAGTATTTTATGATGCATTTTATTCTGTGATCTGCAGATCACAATTTATTAACCATTCATCTACATATTCTTGGCTAAGTTTTTGTTGTATCAATTAGTAATTATCATTTGTTTCTTTATATAAATACATCCTTACAATTCTCAGAGGCTATAATGATGTGGATGAAGTTGAAGCTGCTTTATGTACGCGATTCAGTCCCAATGGAGATAATATATTTGCTGGATATAAAAAATCAATTAAGTTATTCGACACGGATAGGTAAATATTATATTATTATATAAGCATTACTTAGAATAAAATTTTAAAATATTTTTTGGAACCAGTCGAAAATGTTTATTTGTTATACTTATTTTTATATTTACACTAGATTCACCTTGTAATTGTAATAATAAAATTGCTTTCCAAAATGAACTGATTTATTAAATGTTTTAATTTCAGACCAGGGAGAGATTATCTAAATTTCCGAATTAAACAGCCAGCTAGTTGTTTAGCATTAAATAGTTTTGGTAATTTACTTGCTGTTGGATCATGGCATCGAACAGTAACTCTGATGTCTGTAAATAGTGGTGACTTGATTCAATTTGATACAATTTATGGTCACAAAGGTAAAACAATTCTAATAAATTTATAAGTGATTAAATTTAAGTAAAATTATTCTTTTGTCTTAACAACTTGATTATTCAAATAATTATTATTCGAATTATGTTCTTTTCTAGTATTGTTAAATACTAAATTATGTTATATATCTATAATATCTCTCACACTAAGTTTATAATTGTTATTTTAATTTTTTAGGTGGCATTACGCACTTAATGTTCATGGATGATTCTTCCAATTCCACAAATTATCTTTTATCAGGAGCACGAATGGATCCTACTTTATTTCTGTGGGATATTAGACAGACTATGAAACCTGTACGAACTTTTTGTAGACAAGTGATATCAAATCAAAGAATTTATTTTGATTTATCGCCATTTAATAATAATTGGCTAGTTAGTGCTAGTACAAGTGGCTTATTGAGAGTTTGGAATTTAAAAACTGAAAAAGAGTTTAAGGTAATATAAATAATTTAATTTTTCATGTATTATAATTTTTTAAACTTGATATAACTGTTAATTTTAAGAATTTTTTTTTTTTGGTATTTCTATCACAACAATTTTTTGAGTCTGATAAAGGATTTTTAATTTTGGGTAGAATTTAAGTCATTGATTATGAAGACTAAACTTTAATTTTTTGTTATTAATATTTTACAGAAGCACATATACATTCTAAATTGAATATATTTGTTCAAAATAAATTATGTCATTATGAACAAAAGGGCAGTGCTTTAAGCAAACATGTTTGTAGAAAAAATAATCTTAAGTTTTATCATTTACATTGCTACTTTCAAATTAGAATATATTTTATCTGTTAATTGTGCAATGTTATTTTTATTTCATTTGCTTATTTGAATAAGTGCCTGAATCTTATAAATCTTCTCTCCACGGATTGATCATTAATGCCAAATATTATTTTTTTTATTAGTTCCCAGTGCACAATGACTGCTGTAATGGAGTATCGTTCCATCCAAGTAGACCTATAATAGCAACAACAAGTGGTCAATATCATTTTGCACAAGAAGATACTTTGAATGACGATGAAAGTAAAAAAAATTCACAAGGTGATAATAATGAAAGTATTTTAGAAGACAATATGCAAACATGTAAGAAGACTGAAAACTCTATGGTATTTTGGTGGGTAAGTGATATTACAGGGTCAACAAATAATGATTTAGAAATATAAACAAATAGTTAAAATTATTTTGTACTGACATATTTTGTATAAGTGTCGTAATTCATTAGAAGAACTTATTATGAACATATCAAGTCAGTATTTAATTAACAAATTATCACATCAAATATTTTGTATAGAATTTTATCATTAGTTTAGTAAGAATGCATACTGTTTGAAATAAGGACTTTAGTTGAAGATGTGAAATACAGTAATTGGAAAGACAATTCTGTGCGCAACAGAAAGTACTATTTATTTTATCACAAAGTTTTAATTACTTTATTTTACTAAAAAGGGAATAGCAAATTGTTATGTGGTACAATATATATCAAGAATGAAAATTGGCATAAAGTTACAAATCATCAAATCATTGAAAAGTGTAATTTAGAAAAAATGATTATTTTCTTTTATAATATGTATATATTTTAATTAAATATACATTTCATTATCATATTAAATAGTTATTTTTATTATATTTATTTAAGACTTTATGACCAATTACTAAACAAGAAGTTTTGAATCGCAATAATTTTAAATGTATTTTATTAGAATTGCACATATATTGTCAAATTTTAATCAAATCAATTCATTTTGAATATTGACTGCAATAATAAAAATCATTTGAACATATTTTGAAAATGTTATTCATTATATTTATTCAAAATTTGAAGCTGTTGAAAAAGACATGGTGGATGGTTGCTAGGCTACATGTTTGAAAACATACCATTATATAATTTAATTATGATTTCATTTACAGAAAAATAAATAAACAATAATATACTTAGAAAAGTAATTACCAGTGATATCATTAATGCATTTGAAAAATAATAAAAAAAAGTTATATTCATAGATAAACAAGTATAATAATAATGGTTATACTATTATAAAATTAATTATATTAAAATACAAAAATAATCAAATATAAATAAGATATTTAAAAAAAATAATATACTTAGAAAAGTAATTACCAGTGATATCATTAATGCATTTGAAAAATAATAAAAAAAAGTTATATTCATAGATAAACAAGTATAATAATAATGGTTATACTATTATAAAATTAATTATATTAAAATACAAAAATAATCAAATATAAATAAGATATTTAAAAAAAATAATATACTTAGAAAAGTAATTACCAGTGATATCATTAATGCATTTGAAAAATAATAAAAAAAAGTTATATTCATAGATAAACAAGTATAATAATAATGGTTATACTATTATAAAATTAATTATATTAAAATACAAAAAATAATCAAATATAAATAAGATATTTAAAATAAAACATAAAACAACTCTTTGTATAAAAATTAAAAGGTTATTTTTTAATAGCCTCATCTACATATTTATAAATTTTTATCTAAAAATTTTAAACTCTTTGTGATTTTATTATTATTAAAGAATTATCTCTGACCCATTTAAACCTATTGGGTTTAAATTATATTAAATATATAATATATATAAAATGTATGACGAAGCAATAGATGTGGTAAATGCAAATGAAATAGAAACTCCACCAAAATCTGAATCCCCAAATCCACCAAGGTTTATAGCGGGAACCACAGGTCTTTCTATGGTAAGTTGATTCTGCTTATATGATTTTAATAGTAAATTATTTTGAATCTAGAAAATTGTATAATTCAGAAAATAATTTAAGAGATGTTTGTATCTTATCAATTGAATAATGCTTGTTACAGGGTGAAGATGACTTCAAAAATGTAACGAAGAAATCAGAGAAACCTCTACTAAATAAAAGTAAGTTTTTACTCATGAAGTTAATAATTTATATGTGTATAAAAATGTGTAAATTGTTAATTTTGAGTTATATTAATTATTTTATTGTTTTAGATCTCACGCTTGGTAAAGCTTCCTTTAATGATGAAAATACATCCAATGAATCCAGTGTTTCTTCAGATCTAGAGTTAAAAAATCGTAAAGATGATATAATTAAAAACATAATTCGCAGTGGATCAGATATCGCTTTGCATGCTTCTACACCTGATTATTATGACTTAAACAAGTTTAAAGATTTGCAAGTATCGCCTGATGCAAAAGAATTATTTCTTCACATCAGTAGGTAATTATTCTATGTAAAAAGGTCTATCAATAAGTCAAGAATAGTCCAGTAGAATAAACTAGTGTTTATGTTTTACAGATACACTCCACAAAATATTGAGTTGGAGTATAGATTAAAACCATTCATACCAAAATTGATACCTGCTGTCGGAGACATTGATGCTATGCTCAAAGTTGTTCCACCATCTCCATGGATAGATACTGATGGAATGCCTAATAATATTAATGTACTTGGATTAGAGGTAACATTTTTCACTGAAAATTAAATTATGAATATTTAATAATGCATTATTAAACTAGTATCTATTAGGCTTTATTATAATGCTGACAATATCAAATGTAACAGGTTTTAGATGAACCATCAGGAACGCAAAGTGAACCGGCATTATTGCACATGAAATTGAGGGCTTCAAACACAAGGTCTACTCCATCAAGTGCTGGAGGACCTCCAGTTTCATTAGCAAAATCGAACAAAGATATTGAAAAATGGATTCGTGACATAGAAGCACTACATGCTACCCAACCAGCGCCAACATTGTCTTATAATAAGTAAGTTTTGCAAGAAAAAGAGGAATGAAATATATATATATATATATATATATATATTTATATATATCTCTTATCTTTTTACAGACCAGCACCTGATGTAGACAGCTTGATGCAGGAATGGTCTGGTCCAGTAGAAAGGGTTCTTGATGAAAATGGGTTTCCAGAACCTACTTTAGATTGCACTTTGTCTCAATACGTATCCATAGTATGCAATTTACTTGATATACCTATTCCCAAACCATATGGACATAAAGAGCGTCTACATGCTTTGCACACATTGTTTTCTTTGTATGCAGTAATTCGGAATAGTACTTGAATTGTACTTTATATGATTGTTTTGCAATATGAATAAGTAGATATATTTCCTAGTTGCAAAAACTTGCAATTAAGAACTAAAAGATAGACAAAAGCATTTTAAAGTAAAATTTAAAACAAAAGTACAAATTTTTTTTTTCTATTTTTAAACTGGGTTGCACAATAAATAATGCAATTAAAAATACAAGTTAATATGGACGAAAAATTAAATTTAAATTGCAATCTGAGGCATAGAATCTCTATTTAACTGCATAGACTGCAATCTAAAAAAAATGTAAGTTTAATAATGTTATAAACGTAATTATCAATTCAAATTTAAAATAAAACTGACTAATATATTTTAACTTTATATTTTTTATATATTTTTTTATTTACCAAAGAGATCCTCAATTTATAAAATATTCCTCATATTCTAACTTTCATAAAATAATTAAAACTCCTCTAATACAATAATGTACATGTATTATTTAAAACTTATGATTAGGCAGTATAGTTTTTATCCTACTAGTCTATTTATGAAATAATGAATACAGTAACTGTTAAATATAATTGGAAATAAAATTTCCTCATAATAAATTAAAACATAAAAAAGTTGAATTACAATTCTGTCAACATTCACTGAATCACCATACAAAACACACATGAAATAAAAATTATTAGAAAGAAGAAAACTATAACTGATCACAATTTCAAAATATGGTAAAAGTCTATTGGTCCATAGGTTCTGATGCCGCTGGGGTATCTTCACATTCCATGGCCGATTCAGGTACATCCATGGACTCAACCTGATTCTGTTCAATATTATCATCACATTTTATCTCAGAGATGAAATTATTCTCTACATCAGCTACCATTTGTTCGATTTCAGTCCCTGGTTCAGATGCAACCTCAGGAGCCAGTGCAATGGCTCTGTCATCAGGGCGGATTGTTTCTTCTTCTTCAACTATTTTTTCTGGAGAGTGTGCTAAAATCTGTGTAGATTCTGTTGCTTGTTCAATAATTTCGGAAGATTGGCTAACCTCGTTTTCAATTTGTTCTTGGGACTCTTCTACTGGTTGCAGAGATTTTTCTGTTTCTAGAACCTCAGTTGCCGCCTCAGGTACTGTATCACAAACAATCTGAAATAATTTATCCATCTCCTCTGGCTGTTTTTCCTTTAATATATTTTCATTTAAACTTATTTGTGTATAATCACTTTTCAGAACTTCTTGGAAATCATTATCACAAAGTATTTCAGTGGGTTGGATATCATTAACAGGTTCCAGAACATTTAAAAATGGTACTTCATCATTACTACTTTCTGCATCAGATGAAACTAGATTGTTTTCTTCAACCGCCAGGTTGGTTTGACTCGTAATAGAGTTTTCGGTTGAATTAGAATCTGTCTCAGAGTTATCAGTATTTTCCTCTGGTTTATTGTCTGGCAAAAATGTTTCTGATGGTGTTTGTGAAATATTATCTGATGTAGATTCAACAGGTTCAATATTAGTTTCTTCAGGTATACTTTCTTCTTCACTAATCTTAGGGCTTTTTGCATTTATGTATGAAGTCTGCAGTTCTTGTAGATTTTGTTCAGTTTCCTCTTTACTCAAATCTGATTCTATTTTAGAACTATCTGCACTGGTACCGTTTATCTCTGGGTGATGTTCAACTGAGGTATCTGAGTGTTTATCGACTTCATTAGTACAATTTGTTGCTATTTCTGGAGTTGTAATGCAACGGTAATCGTTGCTCAACATATACGAGGTGTCATTTCTAGGTGCAGGCGTTGTGGACTCATCTTTACCTGCTAAATTGCCATCCATTTCAATTTCAATATGCATATCGAAACCATCACCATTCAAAACTGCTTCTAAAGGATCCCCACTCTCGGGTTCTCGATTTCCTGGCTCCCTTGTGCTTACGACTAAAATGTTCTTCTCAATGGCTCTCATATATTTATCTATTCTACTATATTGCTTGCGTGGACATGTAAGTAATTCACATATCCTCTGCACAGTAAAAGGGGCCGACGAAAACGAGTCTATTCTTTCCAATAAACAATTTTTCATTGTATCATAATTAAAAGGGTCAACATTCGGACAAGGAGGTAAATCTAATCCCGGGCTGCTATCGTGGAATTCGGTCAATACGTGTAAAAGTTTTTCGCGGAATAGACTCTTAATAATCGACCAGTGGAAAACTGGATCACCTGTGCGCGCCACAAAACATAAATATTCTTCTAGTTCTCGTGGTATATTCTTTGGCCTCAATTTTGAGAACGAGTCCAGACTTTGTAATACTTCTTCGGCATTCTCCATCGCAAATTAATCGATAAAATAATAATTAATTCACAATTTAATTAATGTCCACACATTGAAGTCAACAAAGTCCACAAATATTATGTTTACAATAACTATACAAGTACCAACGAAGAAAATTTAGTTCATTCACAATGGCACCAAACAAGTTTGCACTTGCATAACACGTCCTGAAGTTAGGCGAAAATATTCCGATACAAAAATGATAGTGATCCAACATTGCGACATCTTTTATCTATGATTGCCACACTGTGATAACTGATTTAATTTTGATTTTTTTAAGCTCTTCGCAGTAAATGTTTAAATAATAACATAAATGTAAGATATCGAATTGATAACGATTTTAAATATAACATAGTATGAAACCAAAACAACTTTATATCATTCAATATTAAAGTTGACAAAAAGGGGGGATGATTTTTGTAGTTCTAGAATTAGAAGTTTGTTAATGAACTTATAATTAATTATTATTATGTGATAGTCAAGACTTAGAACCTGCAATCAATAATTTTATTCTATTTCTTTTGGTATTATGAATATATTCATGAAAGTGTAGCATTTAATCAAGTTTAATTCATGACTAGAATAAAAAATTCAAAATAAAAGAATAAATAAAATATTTATAAAGCATAATCAGTTCTTGCGATATCTCTTCTCTTATCTATGGTTGTGCATAATATTTTGAATATTTTGACGTAGTGTGTTCTTGCTTCAGTTTGTGCATTCTGTGCTTAACCAATATTATTTGACATGTCATATTCCTGTCAACGCCTAACCAAATTTCATTGTATTATCATAAATAAAAAATGAAATTGTTTAAATTTATAACATTTTCCCAACTATAAATATCATTTAAGAATAGTGATGTGGGTGCAAATAATACTTGTAGCTAATTAAACGCAGCTTGTGAAATATTATGCTTGTCGTCAGTATACAAAGCGATTGTTTAAGTTTCTAATTTATCTTTTATAAAACAAGGTTTGTGCAAAATTATAATAATAAATAATATCACGTATTTAATGCTTTTATCAGAACTTTAGATAAATATTACACGCAGTAAATGTGACTCATTCTAGTTCACAATTTGTGCTCAGTCTAGTTTACAATTTGTGCAATAATAGTTGTATTTTTCTTATTGGGTAATATTATTTAAACTGTATTGTTCTTTCAGTTAAAATGCCATGTACAAACTGCTCAGTACAGTTTGGTGTTTTTAAAAGGAAGAAACAATGTCATGAATGCAGGTATTTTGGAAAATAATTATTCACAATATCATAGTTTGTCTTATCTGTTCTTACTCATAAGAGCATTTGATATAACCATATTAAATGCTTAAAAAATAGCAAACGATTTTACATATAATAATATAAAATACATGGTTTAACCCGAGAAAAGTGATGCACTTTTGTAACTTTATTTCAGGTGTTACTTTTGCAATCTTTGTCTGAGAATTAAGAGAGATCGAGTGCTTTGTGGTAAATGTATTGTTTTAACATCGCGTCCATTAAGCAGATCCCAGTTGTTACAATTAAAAAGCAAAGACTTAATTATCTATCTGAAATCAATACATGTTTCCACTAGTGGATGTGTAGGTAAGATATAATTCTATAAAAAACCAGTTAAAAGTAAGTCAAAAATGAGTCATTAATATATATGCATTATCATTTACAACCTATATATCAATTGTACGGTTTCTGCTGATTTCAGAGAAAGAAGATTTAGTTAATTTATTGTTAGCTCATGTCAACAGTGAGCAGTATTATGATAACTCTAATTCCCATCAAAATCATCAATCTACAAGCGGCACTGGAAATAATGGATCAAATACTTCGAATCTTTTTAAGCAGTTCAATTTGCAAAATTTATGGGCAAGCGTTCAAGAAAAATATGATAATGTCAGATGTAGGCCTAGTGCAGGTAATAAATTTTGGATATATTCAATCACGATGAATATTTTCTAAATATTGAAATCACCTGGATTGGAATTTATAAAGTTTTATTTTTCTTTTAGCTATATTTCTTATAGCTAACTAACTATAGTCACATGTTTAATATGACATGCTTTTGATTAAATTGTTAATTTCTTTTCATTTTTTTTTACTCATTCCAAAAATCTGTAACCAATACTTTTCCCATTTTCAAGAAAATGCTTATGAATATATAGAATTATGATACATTATTTTAACATAAAGGTTCAGAGACTGCTCAGGCTGTTCCTAGAAGAGTTTATACAAGGGTGCGACCACCTTATCATCAGCAAGCGCCACGACCTACAACAGCTTCTAGTGCTATATTTGAAAGAACAAGAACGGAAAGTGAACCTTCAGAAAGTAATAGAAGGAGAACTAATTTATTAGATACACAAGACTGTGTTGAAATAGAAGACATTGGTTTGTATTTTTTTGCTTGATTCATAATTGTAGTAATTTTGAACAATATTTACATAAGATTACCCTTTACAATCTACATTAAAAGATTTTAGAATGTTTTGAAGTTACTTTTATTATAACCAGGTTTATTTCATCCAGGTGATTGGGAATTTCTGAGTAGAACAGGTGAGCCTCTATCTAGCTCAGATCCACAAATCATTGTAGAAGTAACACCACCACCTGAAGGAACAAGTAATTTATCTTATCAAATAAGACGAACGACTTCTGAAATAGATGTTCATGTTAATATAAATCAATCTGATCATGTGAGCCAAGGGAACACTATTAGAAGACATTCCATACATAATGTTGATTTAATTCAAAACCAAGAACCTAATGCCCATGTACCAAGTTCTGGTGATTATGGTAAGTTAAAAAATCACATTTCATTAGCTTAAAGAATTCATTATAGTCCTGATTATGAAAATTGATTTGAAATATTATTTTTAAAGAGCTGAAAATTTACTTAACTTTACAAGTAAATAAGTAAAATAATTTGAGTCATTTTATTTTATCTAATATCATATTATGAACATTTTTGAAATAGTAAATTCAAAGTACCATTAAGCACATCACTACAATATATAAATTAATATAATAATAATTACTACATACTACAATATAATTAATACATAAAAAATATAAATCCCGAATATTTTGTGCTAATGAACATTTCATTAAAATTATGTTTAGTAAATATTTATATAAGCCTAAAAAATCTCTCCCGTAAAAAAGTAAAAATGATGTATTCTGATAATATTACAAATATAATTTCACAATCATTATCATTTTTACAGAAACAAACTTAGGTGTTGAGGAAACACAGGAATCAATGAATATAAGTCAGGAAAGCATAAACAATCCTACCGATACTGATAATCCTCAACCAAACCAAAATAGAACAGAAACTTTCCGTGCCAATAATGACGATCATGCTCAGAATTATCCAGCACCTAAAAAAAGAATTAACTTAATAGACATCACAGATATTAATGATTTGGATGATCTAAGTGTTAAACAATTAAAAGAACTCTTAATTGCAAATAGAGTTGATTTTAAAGGGTGTTGTGAAAAAAATGAATTATTGGAACGAGTTAATAGACTTTGGAGAGAGTATTCACAAAATCGAGAGAGTGAGTACAATTTTCTACAAAATTGAATGGTTTATTTAATCATGATTGAGGTGAAGAGTGAATGGCTTGAGCTAGATGATTTGTAATCATCTGAAATGTATGATATTATGTATTTTTAATAATACAAATGGCATGTATTTTTGTAAATAAATATACTAATACAGTGTGTATTGTGTGAATGATTTGTATGAATTTATTTATATATACTAACATATAAAATTGAAATTTCTAATTGAAAGTAGATGTATAAGCTAATTTATTTATTATGCTCTTTTTTATTTCAAATTTTATATGAAAATATTCTTATAAATATCTTGAAATATACTTGAAAGATGTATTTAATTTATCACATGCTTATTATAAAATTAATCAATTAAAAGACAGTATGAGCTATTAATTTGAAATAAATCAAAGAGTATCTTGAAAGAAGCATGAATAATTAACACTTATGATATAATTTGAAAATGAAAATAAAAAATACTAAAATGCATGATAATAACATTTTCTTTGACAATTTCAAAAATAATGCCTTCACAGTTTATTTAATTTTTAAATATACATAACAGCAAAAGTTTATATCTAAGCATAATCAATTTTTTATTTTTCTTCCATTGAATTTCTCACAAACATACTTTCATTCAATTTTTTTTCAATTTTAATTCAATTATCTTTGCAGAACTAGATGACTTACCAACAGATGAGTTATGTAAAATTTGTATGGATGCTCCCGTAGAATGTGTAATGCTAGAATGTGGACATTTAGCAACATGCACAGCTTGTGGTAAAAGACTCAACGAATGTCCAATATGTAGACAATATGTCGTAAGGGTTGTGAGGACTTTTAAGGCTTGATTTTTAAGACAGGTTAGTCAATTTATTATTCTACTTGTTTACCATATATTTCATAATCATATCAAACCAAAACATATTTGGTTTGGAAATAAATATTACTTATATTTTGAGAGTAGAATTCGGTTATCTTATTATCTATTGTTCAAGTTTGAAATATTTTATTTAGATTTTTTACTTTCAAATATAGCTTTTCATTGAAATTTTACAAATATGTTATTTCTATTAATCAACTTGATTAATAGTATGGCATTAAATTATATTACACCAGTGACATAAAAACAAAAAACAAATTCTTCAATTTATAAAATTCCTCATATTTTTAATTTTATGCATCTTCATCTTTTTGCATGTTTGCACATAATTATTGTTAAACTTTTACATTATTAAACATTTATTTATAGGTTCTTTGAACACAAGCACACTGCTACATATTCAAACAAATTTCATTTAAAAATATGTTTAAGCAGTGCAGGAAAGCTGAAATTTTTTGTTATAGAATAAACAAAACTCATAACAAATAAATCTTGTGATATGTTTATATTTTGAACACGTTTTAGAGCAATTTATAAATCTATTGATAATATATATATATGTATATATATATATATATATATATATATATATATGAAAATATAAAAATATAAGTATAGTTATATGTTACGTGAACGTACTATGTCCATTTGTTCATGCTATTTTATATATAAATCTGTTTTTAAAACTAGTGGTACATGTATTGCACCATTTTATTCTAACTATGGAAGATTAATTTTATTTGTTTTACATTCTATTAAAATTAGATCTTGATTAAATATGAGATACATAATATGAGATTAAAAAAGTATTGTATTTAATTGTAAATATTATTGTAATAAATTTTAAAAATCATATATGTGCTTTAAAAATGTAGATTGAAATATATCAATATTTCTATGTATAATTTTTTTGTAATATGTATATATATATATATATATATATATATATATTACAGTAAATGCAGGAGAGTAAATTAGTTATACCTGTGTTGATAATCACAATGTTGTTCTCATACCAATTTTCATCAATGAATTCTACTAATCAATCCCTTCCAAACATGTGAGTTTTTTCAGGTCTATCCAGCCTCATGATTTTTTTAGCAACATTGAAATATCCCAGATACTCCACAGAATCAGGAGTAGTATCAATGTGATAATGACCACCCAGACCATGGTCGCTGAAGCTGTGAAAGTGCTGAACTCTTAAATCAAGATCTGTGACTGCAGTAACCAAGGTGCCAACTGCCACTAAAGGAGCCTCCATTTGAAAGAATCTTAACCATGCATTTAGTTGTTCTTCAGTATAAATAGGAGTTAGTTTCAGAAAAATCTGTCATAACATGCTGCCTGGCACGGCCTTGCTTTAAAAGAAAAGTTCCTCCAAGACCTAGAAAAGAAATATGAAACTGACACAGAACTAACTGAATTTGTATTAACAGATCAATTTCTGAGACAGCTGTGCTTAAACAATTAGGAATTTTTCAGTCATCTTACTAACCACAACTTGGTCTCCATAATGTTCACTCAAAGCTGTCCTGATGCTTGCAATAAAATCTTTAGGTCCATGTCTAGTTGCACAATGGACACGCAATACAGATCCGGCATGTCCTTCAGACAGAAAGAGATTTCCTAATAATGCACCATTTTCCATGTTAACAGTAGCTATGTGTGTTTTGTTTTCAAGGTACCGTCAGATGCTAGGTGCATATTGAAAATACCCTATAAGGTATAAATTTACTTTACTATAGCTTCATGTAAATATACAAAATAATCCTATAAAATTCTTGATAAATTAAATGTCTATTTTGTAATGTTTTTTTGAAATGAAAATTTAAAATTATCTTTCATGTGGTTAGATTTATTAAGTTATCTGAAATCTGTATAAATTTATGTTTATTAGTTCCTAATCCTTAAGATCTAATTTTACAAAACTGAATAAATAGACAGAGCATGGTTAAATTTTAAATATTAAAATTGTGAACTAAAATTATATAAAAATCATTTGTTACAACATATATTAAATAGCACAAGCTATTGTATAATATTATACAGTATATATAAATAATATTGTATAATATTATAAAATATATATTCTAACAGTTTTTTTCCTTTTTTAATTATTGAGTGTTTTTTGTAATTATTTTCGTTGTAATACTTAATATCAATATATTTATGATATATATATATATATATATATAATATATATATATATAAACATATCATAAATTAGATATAAGTATTATTTAGAAAAAATGCATATACAATAAATAATATACAAATTAATTTCTTTAATAATAAACAAAGTGAAAAATGTTATATAAGTTATAAACTTGCCTCACAACATACACCAGCATATGGCCATGGTCCTGCACCAGCTCCTATAGCTAAAACCGGACTCAAGTCCAAAGACTTAGCAATGTTTTTTATATCATATATTTTTTCTCTTTGAACAAGTGGTAAGAGATAAGGAGCCCCACCTAGTTCGAGTAAATTAGGATTTCCACTCAAACCTACTCAACAAAGAAAAAATTAATAAAAAAAATAATACTTAATCTTTATGTAGTGGATCATTTACAAAAATATAAAAGTACACTACATAAATATATTTATGTAATTATAATTACATATATACATTTATAAATATGCAATGTTAATCATTGTAGCAATATATATTATATTAAATATAATTATTTTGGATTCAACTTAAACTATCAGGCTAATATTGATATATTCTAATTATAATTATATATTTGTACCTGGTGCAGCGAGACAAAATGGTTTTTGCGTTAAATCAGGGCACTCAACTATATCAACAGAGACATGAGTGAAATTGTTAGGTAACTTTCCAGATAGAACTGAAAATGTAAGACTTATATTAACAACCAAAGTAATCAAAAATAATATTATATAATACATATTATATATAAATATATATTTATTTTGTGGTTAAGTAATGCACAATTTATATAGGTACTATATTAAAATGCATTAATATTAAAACAATTTGTATACCTTCTTTGACCTCCTGAAGAGATGGTATATGAAGATCTTTTTCTTCATATTTTAAATCAGAGAATTTAAGAGTTTCCATAATATGAATAATTATTAAGGTGTGATGCAGCAACAAGTGACCCAAGAAGTGATTACAACATATGTTATATTAAGAGTGATAAATGATTGAACTCTCAAAATAAATAATAAAAATTATCAAGTGTCTTATCTTATCATTATAAGAAAAACAATAGTTATATACATATAACGTCAACTGAATACTTAATTTGCTCTGATTAGAACACAACTTGTTCCAGTATCTTGCAGTTAATAAAGATTTATTATAAATATTCCAAAAAGCTGGATTTTTGCTTTATATATGCATATTATTATCTGCACATATGTGGTACACCGCAATAATAAATATTTTTATTTATTAACCGCTAAAACAAACAAATTTATCAAAAACAGTGGAAAACAAAATTGAATTTTGATAAAATTTAAAAAATCCAATAAAAATTATTACAATTATTATTCAGGGCGGATAAATTTTATGTGATAAGAATTTATATTCAAACATATTTCAGCTTTTATAGAAAAAAATTTGGTAAAAATCTAATTAACAATTAATATAAAAAATGATTTCTTAATATTTTATTACATATTGTTCTTTACTTCGTGGCCAAATGTCAAATTTGAATTTTACCGCCTTTATTATTAGGGTAATTAGGTTTTTTTACTATTTATTTTCGCCAACCTACAAATATGAAAAAAACTAAGCGGCACGTTGTTTCTGTACCCTCTGCCAGTTCATGACGACTCTTGTAATATAAGTAATATTAAATTGTAATACTTTTAGGTTTGGTCGTGAATGTTTGTGTGTTTTTAAATATATGTTATAATGGCTGACACGGCTAAGAAGGTAAATATCATTTTACTTTACTATTCCCAAATTTATTGTCAGATATTTTCACATGTCTACAAAAAACATGACGGAAGTCCTTTAATTATATTTTTCAACCAAATTGTGAGTTTAATTACACAATTTACATATATTTTTCTGCATGTTTTCGAAAATTTAAGTTGGATTATTTTAAGATTTAGCTGAGAGGTTAGAGTACAATTCTTAATCATGTCGGCTTTTAAAAGTTCTATAATGAATGGCGCGAAAAACCGGGTATTATCGAAATTATTTTTCGAGTAATATTTATTATTGTCACAAATGTCTATTTCATTTCAGGTTCAAGACTATAAGGATTCTTTAAAAGATAAGGCAGAGAAATTAATATTTAAGGGCTTTCCTGAGAAAATAGTTAAACTTAATGAACTTCTCGAAACACCAAACTTTAGCAATAGATCATTGTCAGATGTTCATCAGGTAAAAATATGTTTAATTTAAACACAAAATGTAAAGATAAGTAAACAATTATTATTTAACATTTATTACGCAAACAAGTGTTCGAAGTTTTAGGTAAACAACTTTCTAAATATAAGTTGTAACCAATGTACTATGTAAACATTATATATTGGGATTTTCTAGTACTTGGTATAAAGAAAATAATGTACATTTACTACATACACAGAATTCTGATTATAAAAATGCTTGCTATATAAGTTATTAACAATCAACCAAGATTTTAGAAGTTAGCAAATTATTTTTTTCGTGGTTCTGTTTTGAATTCGTTGTATATATAAATATTCATATCAATTTATAATTAGAATTTATAATTCTCAAGTAATAAGACTTAGTGTTATAATATGCTAACAATAAAATGCACTATATTTTGTACTATTTGTAGCTTACAAAATGCTAATACATCTTTTTATTTTTAATTAGGAATTAAATGTGCCTGTTCCGGATGCAATAGTTTTAAATAATTCAGATGAACCATCAGCTAAAAGACCACGCTTTGAAAACTGTATACAAGCACAAGAAGGAATTGCAGGAACAAAGGTTCAACTACTGTTTGTTTTTGAATTATCCTGTATTTATTTATTAATAATTATAATTATATTTTTTACTATCTCAGGTTATGGCACTTCCATCAGGCCCTGTACCATGTAATAAACCAATTAGTGAGCTGATATCATTGGTGAAGCCTTATATAAGAGAATTAGTAGAAGATTCAAATTTGGTAAGTTATGACTGTTATCTGATTCTTATTAGATACTTCAGCATACAACTATAATATAATGTGTCTATTTAAATTTTTGTAGTTGAAAATGTGGATATCCTTCATGATTCCTAAAATAGAAGATGGTAACAACTTTGGAGTCTCAATTCAAGAAGATACATTGGCAGAAATCCAATCTGTGGAGTCTGAAGCAGCAGCTTTCTTTGATCAAATATCACGTTATTTTATCTCTAGGGGTAAAATTGTATCAAAAGTTGCAAAATATCCACATATTAATGATTATCGAAGAGCTGTGCAGGTTAGACACAATTTTAGAATTGGCAATCCTTTTTATTAAAAAATGAAATTAATGTCTATCTTTTTTATAGGAATTGGATGAAAAAGAATATCTTAGCCTGTGGCTAGTAATGTGCGAGGTTAGAAATAGATATTGTTCACTACATGATATAGTAATAAAGAATCTGGAGAAAATCAAGAAACCACGTTCATCAAACACAGAGTCTTTATATTGATTTATATTGTGTACTGAGTTACTTGTACAAATTGGTTTACATAATCCTTTTGAGTGGATTATTTTACCAATTGACTTTTCTATGAAATTTATTTTTAATTACCAATGTATTACTTGCTTGTATGTTTTCATATAAATCAAGAGATGAATTTAAAACAGTCTATATAATTTACTTTTAATAATTACAGTTTTTGTTTTTAAAATTATTTGTTTTCTTCTTCTTTTGTGAGTAAAGCACTTTTAATGCCTGCTTTCTTTAGTTCTTCTATTAAGTCTCCAGATTGATGCATTTGCAACATGATGTCACAACCCCCTACAAATTCTCCAGAAATATAAACTTGTGGAATAGTCGGCCAATTGGAGAAATCCTTAATACCTAAAATAAATGTAGATGATTAATATAAGACTCAAATTACAATGTTAATGTAACAATTATTCATTAATTATACCTTGTCTTAAAACATCATCCTTTAATACGTCATGACTCTCATATTCCACACCGTGCATCCTCATAATTTGAACCACTGCATTGCTGAAACCACATTTGGGGGCTTCAGGAACACCTTTCATGAAAACTACCACCTTTTTGTCTTTAACAAGTTTGTTTATTCTATCTGAGATCGCAGTTGTGCTGCAGTACAATTTTTGCGCAATGCCATTTAACTGCGCTGTACATAACTTACTTCTTAAACTAAACATTTTAAAATATTGAGACAAATTTCTTGATAATAAATTCACCTCATGTTACGTCTTGCAACCGAACAAAATTATTTTGACAGTTTTAATTCATTGCAAACTTCACGCGTGTATTGAAATTATGTAATGGAGGAGGCAATGACAATAATTTTT